CCGCCCTGCTTCTTAGGAATCTTCTGACAAAGTCAGAAGTTAGTAGTAAGCCGAGAATTACCCGTCCCCCATTTACAGCAACACACGAGCAACAATAAATATCAACCACAAACACAGGGCGGGGGGGAAGGCAGACAGTTCGCGATCCATCAATTTTTAAGGAAGATTGCTACGCTACGGTTAGAAGTTGCTTGTGGCGAAAGAGTCCCAATTAGTGACCGGGGTACCTGCTTTATGCCATATTTTGAAGACCAGAGTTTTCTGGGAATCCAGCAGGAGTTCCTTGGAGAGTCTGCAAGGAATAATAATAAAAAAAAGAAATCAGAAATATATTTAAACGACAGCGAGAGGAAATATCACTTCCCGGCGTGTTGTCGGCAACGTTTTTGGTATGTGGGTCGTCCTCGATATATGACCACAGTTGAGGCCAAAATTTTATGTTGCTAAGCAACAGAAGGCAGGTGTTAAATGAGTTCTGCCCCATTTTACTGCTGTCGTTAAGTGAATCACTGCCGTTAAATTAGTCACACGGTTGTTAAGTGAATCGGGGTTTCCCCATGGACTTTGCTTGTCAGAAGTTCGCAAAATTGGATCAGCTGACCGCGGGATACTGCAACCATTGTAAATAGAGGTAGTCCTCAACTTACGACCACAATTGATACCAAAATTTATGTTGTTAAGTGGGGAATTTTTAAGTGAGTTTGCTCCATTTTATGACTTTTCCGGCCACATTTCTTAAGTGAATCACGGCAGTTGTTAAGTGAGTCACAGGGTTGTTAAGGGAATCTGGCTTCCTCCTTGACTTGGCTTGTCGGAAGGTCGCAAAAGGGACGCTCCAACTGTTGTAAATATGAAGCGGACGCCAAGTGCCTGAATTTTGATGGCAATGGTTGTTAAGTGTGAAAAACGGTCGTTTTTCAGTGCCGTTGTAACTTTGAACGGTCACTGAACGAATGGTTGTAAGTCGAGGATAACTCGTATAAAAGGTTGAGTCAATCTGGTTCTCTCCAATAACACTGAAGGGCGACTTTTAACAATCCTCCAGGCACCAGGGCAGTCTATCCTATCTGAAGAGCCCAGGTTGGGGGAAGGACAAAACTGTGTTTAGTTCTAATGCAGAGGACCAGCTGTCCGCACGGCGTATCAACCCTTTTCTTCCCCACCCTCCAGTCAGAGCTGAAGAAGCTTCTTGGATAGGAAGAGAAACGTCTTCGAAAGAAAAAAACAAGGAAGTCCAGTTGCCTCCCGAAAAGGGATATTTCTGGCGATATTTCTGACGTCTTAGTTACCTCGTCTGCTGCTGAAAATCCCAAACAGGGGAATCTGTGTTTTCTACTGTTGCGGTGGTGATAGGATGATCCGCATCAGTGGCCACGAAAGTCACGTAGCTACAGGGCGACGTTGCTCCCCGCTCTGCGAGAGGACTCCCTGAAACCGAGCAAGTGGTCAGTTTGTGTTCTACGACAATTTCACGACAGAGAAACAGGAATCAAGTCAGAATAGAGCTGGAAGGGACCCTTGGAGGTCTTCTAGCCCAACCCCCCGGCTTAAGCAGGAGACCTTACGTCATTAAAGGCATATGGCTGTCCAGTCTCTTCTTAAAAGCCTCCAGTGATGAAGCACCCACCGCTTCTGGTGGCAAGCTGTTCCATTGGTTAATTGTCCTCACTCTTAGGAAGTTTCTCCTTAATTCCAGGTTGCTTATATTCCTTGATTAGTTTCGATCATTTTGTTTTAACCTGAATGGTTTCCCAATCAGGAAAACTGAAATATTGCTTGAATAGAACATGGAATCCTAGAGCTGGAAGGGACCTTAGAGGTCTTCTAGTCCAACATCCCTGCTCAAGGCAGGAGACCTAAGGTGAAAGAGACCTAGGATGGATTTTTATGATTCTAGTTTCCTACAAAGGATTTATAGCGAAAAATCTGGACTTGCTAGCCACCTTCGGAGTTTACGTTTCTTTGGAGAAAGGAAAGTTGGCATTCTTAGAGGTTAAGTTTTAATAAGGAAGTAATTAAAAATGGGTATACATATGAAGTGACTATTTAGAATACCTGGTTGAAAAATGAAGGAATAACATCTTTGTTTGAATGTACGATGTACAAGGCCAATAATGAACACAAGCATGCTCGATAGTTGATTGGTGGGATTATACATAATTGAAAACAGTGATATGCAAATATAAATGGTTGGTAAATCTCTTTCATATCGGGATCCGTGATCATATAAAGGTGTGTTGTTATTAAACAGACAATCAAGAATGTAAGGGAATCAGGTTTATTATTGGCCTTGTA